GACTAAAACTGATTATACGTTATCAGACTGTGATTAAAACTGATTATACTTTATCAGACTGTGACTAAAACTGATTATACGTTATTAGACTGTGACTAAAACTGATTATACGTTACCAGACTGTGACTAAAACTGATTATACGTTATTACACTGTGACTAAAACTGATTATACGTTACCAGACTGACTAAAACTGATTATACGTTATTACACTGTGACTAAAACTGATTATACGTTACCAGACTGACTAAAACTGATTATACGTTATTACACTGTGACTAAAACTGATTATACGTTATCAGACTGTGACTAAAACTGATTATACGTTATTACACTGTGACTAAAACTGATTATACGTTGCCAGACTAAAACTGATTATACGTTATTACACTGTGACTAAAACTGATTATACGTTATTACACTGTGACTAAAACTGATTATACGTTATCAGACTGTGACTAAAACTGATTATACGTTATTACACTGTGACTAAAACTGATTATACGTTACCAGACTGACTAAAACTGATTATACGTTATTACACTGTGACTAAAACTGATTATACGTTGCCAGACTGACTAAAACTGATTATACGTTATTACACTGTGACTAAAACTGATTATACGTTATCAGACTGTGACTAAAACTGATTATACGTTATTACACTGTGACTAAAACTGATTATACGTTACCAGACTGACTAAAACTGATTATACGTTATAAGACTGTGACTAAAACTGATTATACGTTACCAGACTGTGACTAAAACTGATTATACGTTACCAGACTGTGACTAAAACTGATTATACGTTGCCAGACTGTGATTAAAACTGATTATACGTTACCAGACTGTGACTAAAACTGATTATACGTTACCAGACTGTGACTAAAACTGATTATACGTTGCCAGACTGACTAAAACTGATTATACGTTATTAGACTGTGACTAAAACTGATTATACGTTATCAGACTGTGACTAAAACTGATTATACGTTATCGGACTGTGACTAAAACTGATTATACGTTATTACACTGTGACTAAAACTGATTATACGTTACCAGACTGACTAAAACTGATTATACGTTATTACACTGTGACTAAAACTGATTATACGTTACCAGACTGTGACTAAAACTGATTATACGTTACCAGACTGTGACTAAAACTGATTAGACGTTATCAGACTGTGACTAAAACTGATTATACGTTGCCAGACTGACTAAAACTGATTATACGTTACCAGACTGACTAAAACTGATTATACGTTATTACACTGTGACTAAAACTGATTATACGTTATTACACTGTGACTAAAACTGATTATACGTTACCAGACTGTGACTAAAACTGATTATACGTTATCAGACTGTGACTAAAACTGATTATACATTATTAGACTGTGACTAAAACTGATTATACGTTATTAGACTGTGACTAAAACTGATTATACGTTATCAGACTGTGACTAAAACTGATTATACATTATTACACTGTGACTAAAACTGATTATACGTTGCCAGACTGACTAAAACTGATTATACGTTACCAGACTGACTAAAACTGATTATACGTTATTACACTGTGACTAAAACTGATTATACGTTATTACACTGTGACTAAAACTGATTATACGTTACCAGACTGTGACTAAAACTGATTATACGTCATCAGACTGTGACTAAAACTGATTATACGTTATTAGACTGTGGCTAAAACTGATTATACGTTATTAGACTGTGACTAAAACTGATTATACGTTATCAGACTGTGACTAAAACTGATTATACATTATTACACTGTGACTAAAACTGATTATACGTTGCCAGACTGACTAAAACTGATTATACGTTATTACACTGTGACTAAAACTGATTATACGTTGCCAGACTGACTAAAACTGATTATACGTTATTACACTGTGACTAAAACTGATTATACGTTATTACACTGTGACTAAAACTGATTATACGTTACCAGACTGTGACTAAAACTGATTATACGTCATCAGACTGTGACTAAAACTGATTATACGTTATTAGACTGTGGCTAAAACTGATTATACGTTATTAGACTGTGACTAAAACTGATTATACGTTATCAGACTGTGACTAAAACTGATTATACATTATTACACTGTGACTAAAACTGATTATACGTTACCAGACTGACTAAAACTGATTATACGTTATTACACTGTGACTAAAACTGATTATACGTTGCCAGACTGACTAAAACTGATTATACGTTACCAGACTGACTAAAACTGATTATACGTTATTACACTGTGACTAAAACTGATTATACGTTATCAGACTGTGACTAAAACTGATTATACATTATTACACTGTGACTAAAACTGATGTTTGTTCGACTTGGCTTGTGACTTAAGCTGATAACATGCCATGGAAACCAATTATAGTCGATATTGAGTACAAAGAACTAAAATTTTCACTGAAACTTATGACATGTTATGAAACCTGATTAGACTCGACAAAAGCTGATTAAATCTGATTATACTGGACTAAAATGTGACTTCAAAATGAGATCAAGAGATTAAAATTGATTATACTTTTTTCAAACAATAACTTAACTGATAATATTTTACTTCTCTTTTTACTTACCTGTGATTGAAACTGATCACTTGTGATTATAAATGAAATCTCAATTAAAAATGTGACTTTCACAAAATTGATTATACTCAATTAAAACTGCGACTTAAAAAAACCCAAAACAGATTTTACTCGACTACTATAAAATCCTATTTTTGTGGGGCTTAGTTTTCGTGGACACTTCTTCGTGGTCACTTGATTTCGTGGATAATTATAGCTCAGTGAGTCATACTATTCGTCGACATATCGTAACTGATTGAAACTGATTATGTGACTAAAACTGATAACACGTAACTGAAAGTGATTGTTGCTTTTAAATATTTCGCAATTTAAGCCATTGAAGATCTGCGAACAGTGGTCGAGAACCATACAGCGCTGTGAACTTATGAGTGCTTTTTGGTTATCAGTTTATCACTAAACTACCAACAGCTGTCATGAGATGGGATCTAAATTAGCACCGCAGCCGTAGAAAGCATGAATGGAAGTTATATATCACAGAGCCGTAATTGATTTTCATCAATGACTCGGTAGAAATTGCAACCGCGCTGCATTCATACACGTATGAATGGCATTGTGGTCGAGGTCTATTAGACTTAATATACACAGGACAATGTTTACAAACCAACATGTATCTATAATCATTCATATCACTCATGTTAGTATTACATTTTTTGCAAAGTCAACCGTGCGATTAAAGCGCATGCCCGAGCTTGTCTTTTACGTCACACAGCGGTAGGGGTTAGTTACAAACGTGTGCTCTCACTTGACCGACTTCCTACGCCTGGCTACATACGTAATACACACATGCAGAAAAAGTGACAACGTTTAATGCTTGTAGAAGGAGCACGCTTATCAGTGTTTACAAGCTCCGTGATGTACAGTAAAGCTCTACCTTACATAATTATATTTGTTTTGTTCTTGAACTCGAGGCATAATATGATAGTTAGCTAAAATGGTAACAAAGTACATGTTGGCATGGTAACTCGTGGCTTTTATCGATCAAAGTTTGCAATGGTTGAATGGCTGCGCTGACGGTCCGGAGAGGCCTGAGAGTGCTTTATGCAAATGTGTTTGAGAACCACTGGCCGGGCTTACCCTCCCGCTGACCTCGCATAAAAAACCAACACAGCCAGCGAAACAGCTGTCTCTGTCACACATCAAAGAAGAAACCTAGGTGGTCTGTTGCGGTCTCCAGAGGCCAGTAAGGCACCAGGAAAGGGGCAAAATTCACACATTCGTTGGATTTTTAATTATTTTCCCTATTTTTTTTTCTCTTTAGGGACGCATGATTTGCCTTTTTCCCTTACACGATATCATGAAAAAACAAGGAAAATAAATATCAAATTATATTTACGATTGCCACGAATTGTAAAAGTACATGAAAGTCAGTGCGCTTAGGATGGGAGCACGGGTATATGGTAAATATATATATATGTATATATTCAGCGATGAATGCAGGAGTTTATATTCTTATTTACGGTTACCGGGCTAAAGGCCTAAGGTAGTCTCTGGCCTCGGCTCGTTAACCATTGATAATTTAACCTTGGCCTCTCAGTCACCAAAATAACATGAAATGTATAGTTTTAAAACGGAAGCTACTGCAAAACGCCTGTGAAACAGATAATAGGCCACTTTTAAGACGCTTGACCACGATTTTCACGCTTCACAGATATAGATTACCGGGTCATGAACCGTATGATCAAAGCCAACCTCTTTATCATTCTTAGTTTTCTTTGTCTGTTAACGACAGTATATCATCTACTTTCTTGTTATTAAAGCTAGCATGCCTTTGACAATATCCTGTCACCCTCTATGTGTTCACACACAAACGCACTTAAGCACACATGAGTACATATATGTGCTGTGTTCCTCGGTATTTCCCAGTTCATTACACAATCCAGGGTAGAGTGTGGCCTGACATCATTACCTATCGAGGCCAGGATTGGCTCGTATTTTCTAGTAAAGCAAATATGTGGGGATTTATTGGTGACCTATATTCTGTAGAACATATCAGCTCGGCATACGTTACGCGCCCATTATATAACTTGCATGCGCACGCATCTGTGCCGGGTCACAACTGTTATTGAGGACATGGCCCCGCTTCGTCCCGAGTTCAGCCCTCAGATTCAATGGCTGTTTCACCTCAGATAACCCGAAACCTGTAAGGTAAGTCTGGACAAGAGAGTAGCCCCGTCTCGTGGTAATCAGTCGGTTCAGCTGACCAATTGCCGGCCAGCGAGGTAGCGTAAAGCGCTGTTGTATTCGCCCTACTATACACTGGAGGTCATTTCAGTTCACGAACCACGTGATTAGCGTTGTGAATGTCCAGTTTTAACAAGTTATATAATTTTTACTGTTTTGCAGCATCTACCTGGAACTTGGACGTGTTTTGCGGGATCTAGGGACCTCGTGAAATTACTCAGGAATTACTATCTATGTTAATGTGTGACTCCAACAGGACGAGGCCGGCAAGCCAGAAGGTAAGTATTACACCGTACTTCCCCTTTGTGTATCGGGGTCTTGGGAGGTCAGTCGCTTGTTTGTTCAGAGATAGCGCAATATATTTCTAAGTGGATAAAATGTGGCAACCGCAGTTGTGTACACATACACACGGTGTAACACTGTGTTACTCAACCTTGTAGTGACACAGTCCAAAGGAAACACTATTGGTTATCAACATCCGACACATTTTACTAACAGGTCAACTGTTTTTAAGTATTGACCAGAGCTGGGCCGGCTACTTACACTACAATGATACGACCCCACAAGGCTAAGGCTAAGGTGTTGTTCAGTTGGTGTGAATAACTGCCATGCTACACGGTATATTCAGCTGTCACATGACTCGGCTAGATATAGGCAGTGGTTACGTAAGTTTCTTGTTTACATCATGGTACGGCGCTGTTGCGTAAGGTGTCTTTTGCTACCAGTGCAGTTAAATAACCTATGATGGCCGTAGCCTCTCGATTTCCTCAGGCCTTCCAAATCCAACGTTTGGACAATCTCTGGCCTAAAAATGTAAGGTAGGTACGTCTGAGATTACTGTTTGATGTAACGTTGACAATACGTTCAGTCTTTTGAGACAATTCTTTCTTTTTTACATAGCTGACAATGAAGTTAAAGCCACGTAACACTCCAACATACGCCAACCATGATACCTTGTGGATTGGTATTATGATCCAGATAAGTTTGTTGTCAAATTATTCTGAATTCGCTTATGATTTAAATTATAAAAAAGTGTTCCGAATTATATTTTCTCTTCGTGACGATGAAATAGAACGTTTTTTGTAGGGGGTTGTTTGAGCAATGGTTTGAAAGTTTTATGGGTAAAACGGAGTATATTTTTAGATGCTGACTTAGAGTAAGAATGAAATATTTTAAAAATATATATTACGAAATAATACTCTAAATTGTGTTATGTAGTTAGGACACAGTTCGTAATTGGCTTGTACAAGTGTAATGTGTAGAATAGGTAGCAGTGCTATGTGTAGAACAGGTAATTGTGCTATGTGTAGAACAGGTAATTGTGATATGTGTAGAACAGGTAATTGTGATATTTGTAGAACAGGTAATTGTGCTATGTGTAGAAGAGGTAATTGTGCTATGTGTAGAACAGGTAATTGTGCTATGTGTAGAACAGGTAATTGTGCTATGGGTAGAACAGGTAACTGTGGTATGTGTAGAACAGGTAATTGTGATATGTGTAGAACAGGTAATTGTGGTATGTGTAGAACAGGTAATTGTGATATGTGTAGAACAGGTAATTGTGGTGGTATATGTAGAACAGGTAATTGTGGTATAGGTAGAATAGGTAATTGTACTATGTGTAGAACAGGTAATTGTGATATGTGTAGAACAGGTAATTGTGGTATGTGTAGAACAGGTAATTGTGATATGTGTAGAACAGGTAATTGTGGTGGTATATGTAGAACAGGTAATTGTGGTATAGGTAGAACAGGTAATTGTACTATGTGTAGAACAGGTAATGACGAATACATGTGTTACATATAGAACCTAATTATACAGAGCACTGGTTGTTGAATGTACTTTAATGATAAATACTGGTATTTTACAATGATTGCAATTATATTAATATCAGAGAAAATTGTATTGAATATAAGAAAAAAATGTGTTGAATATATATATTATTATATGTATTATATAAGGGTATTAAATAATGTTGAATATAGGGGGAAAAGGTGTGAACACCGGGGAAAATTGTGTTGAATATAGGGAGAAATTGTGTTGACTTTAAGGAAAGTTGTGTATTTGATATCTGATGGTATTGATGTGTACAATCTGAAGGAGTGGCTTTAGAGGTTGTAGTTACGTAGAAAAGCGTTAAACAAGTATATGATGATCCCATTCCTCGAGTGATTCATCTGTCGTTTATAGAGATATTACACTCCTCTCAGTGATCGCGTCATACACATCGGTTGAGTAATTCTCTGAACAGTCTTATTATACCTATATACAGTGTATTTATACGTGGCCACTGACCTTCTCTGTAAACTTAACAATGGTTCCGATCTACACAAGTGTGTACTTACTGGAGTCGAAAAGAGATAGGGACATTTGTATACATTCACGTTATATATACATAATGTTTACATGGTACAATTAGAATATACTATCATGGACCCCATTGTTAAACAAATAGGATATAAATATCAAACAATAGTGGGTTTTTGCTTGTTCAGACAGGCGGAATCTCCTCAATATATCGGCATTTAAAAAAAATTTAAATTTGAATAAAATAATAATTCTAGTACCAGAAAATAGAGTCCTAGATTTTTATTCGCGGTATTCGATCTCCTATTTAGGACTATTCAGACATGCTAGAAGTTGGACTACGTTGATGTAACTGAAAAAGATTAAGCTAGCAAACAAATTAAGGTAATCATAACATAAAATACCCCTAGTCTATCTGCTGTGAAACTTTTAGACCGGTAAACATGCGTGACTCTGGTTATTGGGTTCTTAGCAGAAGTTACACACCTACACCGTCTTCACAGGTAAGTTTTTCATTAGTGGTAGAAAGACAGGTGGTATGTTCGGCGCACTCGTGACCTGTTACATCGACCGGGACATCTATCGATGAGTCACGTGGTGTTGTTTACACCAAAAGATGATATACTTGACTATAAAAAGTAACAACACTCGTGGTCGGGAAACGAAAGTAAACACTAAACGCAACACAATTTAAATACACTTGTGGACAGGAAACAAAAAAAGATACAAGTATCATATTAATAACATCCTATTGAAAACATAATATATATTGAATAAACTTTTGAACAAAGAAATAGCAACAAATACAACCAAAAAAACAAACACACAGGAGGGGGGGGGTTAGAAAATCACAAAAGAAACGTTGAACACATAACCAACATGAGAAACACAACAAAAAATCAACAACACAAAGAAGCCGATATAAACAGTACCAGCATTAAAATGTGGTCACATGACAAGCAACACCAACATTTTATCAACACAACAAACAAGTCATTAAAGCAGGGAACACAGTAAACAAAACATAAACTAAACAATATCCGGAACGCAGCAAACAGAGTAAACAATCAAAACAGATTGATGGATACGTAAATAAAAAGCAAACAACACAATCTAAACCATCTATAGAGCGGGAATAGCATTATACAGGAATACTAATACAACACAAGGAACATGGTGCACACAAAACAAATAGCATACAGTGTAAAACAACGGGAACATTGTATACAAAACAACAACACAAGGAACATGGTGCACACAAAACAAATAGCATACAGTGTAAAACAACGGGAACATTGTATACAAAACAACAACACAAGGAACATGGTGCACACAAAAAAATAGCATACAATGTAAAACAACGGGAACATTGTATACAAAACAACAACAACACAAGGAACATTGTAAACAAAATACCAGCACAAGGAACATTGTATACAAAACAACATCACAAGGAACATGGTGCACACAAAACAAATAGCATACAGTGTAAAACAACGGGAACATTGTATACAAAACAACAACACAAGGAACATGGTGCACACAAAACAAATAGCATACAGTGTAAAACAACGGGAACATTGTATACAAAACAACAACACAAGGAACATGGTGCACACAAAACAAATAGCATACAGTGTAAAACAACGGGAACATTGTATACAAAACAACAACACAAGGAACATGGTACACACAAAAAAATAGCATACAATGTAAAACAACGGGAACATTGTATACAAAACAACAACAACACAAGGAACATTGTAAACAAAATACCAGCACAAGGAACATTGTATACAAAACAACATCACAAGGAACATTGTATACAAAATACCAACACAAGGAACATTGTATACAAAACAACAACAACACAAGGAACATTGTATACAAAATACCAACACAAGGAACATTGTATACAAAACAACATCACAAGGAACATTGTATACAAAATACCAACACAAGGAACATTGTATACAAAACAACATCACAAGGAACATTGTATACAAAATACCAACACAAAGAACATTGTATACAAAACAACATCACAAGGAACATTGTATACAAAACAACAACACAAGGAATGATGTATACAAAACAACATCACAAGGAACATTGTATACAAAACAACAGCAAAAGGAACATTGTAAACAAAACATCTGCACATGGAATATTGTATACAAAACACCAACACAAGGAATGATGTATACAAAACATCAGCACAAGGAACATTGTATACAAAACATCAGCACAAGGAACATTGTATACAAAACAACAACACAAGGAATGATGTAAACACGGGACAAACCCAGGGAACAGTATCAAACAACTAAAAGAACAATGATAACAATACAAGTAGACTAGAAACAAAATTATCCCATATGATAAAAACAGGGGGAACACTGTAAACATAGTATAAACAAACATGTTACATCACCTACAATCAACGTCCCACAAAATAACACACCAAACACTGTAAACACAAACAAGCTGAAAGTAAACAGCTACAAACAGTATACATGTACGATTTTCAGCCTTACAAACAACGCCCACGAACAACAGCGTCACACGATACGTAAATGTAGCAAACCATAAAATAACAACAAACAGCGATAACGAATTCCATTAATCAGCACAAACATAAATAAAAATGTTCTTGTTAAATCGACAAAAAGACAAAAAACATATACATTCTGTATCGCATTATTTCATCGAGTACTGTGAGGATTTGTGTATGTAAATCAATAGTCCTCACGTGTTATTGTCAAGGTTTTAACGACCTTGGAGCTGCGGCTACTGGTTATAATGTAGGTAAACATAAATAAATATTGTTGAACAGTTAGAACACCACAACTAACGTGGGAGACAAGGTCTTCAACAATGACACAACCAACTGGATCAAATCCTGGTGGTGTGAAAGAACGGACGGGTGAGTGTAAATCGAGTATCAGCGGCCAAGAGGTTGTGTAGCCTT